GAGAGATGTCAGTTAGTGAACATGACATTTCTTTGGATTAGAAAACTCGAAGCGGACCTCTGCTTCCTTTTTCGCGTTAACTCTAGCCCTAACCTCCCACGGATCAACGCCCTCATTCCCGCAGATAGACCTTATGCCACTCGTAATTCCACGATGATGCTTGCACCCTTTTTAGCTCCACATCGAACCATTCTCGCTTTTTGCCTCCAAATATGCCTTCCTCTGGAATAATCTTCCCATCGAAATTAGGCTGTCGTCTTACTTAGCAGTTTTTATAGCGAAATTACGTAAACACTTAACTTCGGAAGATATAAGGTTCTTGTTATCCGTTTCCTTCCCAAACACACAACTTTTGGACTTTTAAAAGGGTCCCTCAGGTATTTGAGGTGGTTCTACAGGGTGTCCCAGAAAAATGTGTACATATTTTACCTATTTTTAAAATTGGTGTTTATCATAATTTTATTGTTAAGTAAATGTAAAGATATTCTCAAGTACTATTTTATTGTTTTTGTCTCTGAAAGTTCGCAAACTGACGTCCATTTTGATCATTACACGGATGACAACGCGAAGCAATGGAATAGCACATACCCCGAAACAATTCCCTTGGTATTCATGTGCATTCATGTTCGGTGGCTTCTCTCAATTCAGCCGCTGTTGCAGTAGTCAAAATGCAGTGAATTAAAAGCAATAAAATGATACTTTTAAATACATTTACGTTTTTGAAATAACCAAATTATAATAAACCCTAAGATTACAATAACTTTAAGTATGTATACATTTTTTTGGGACACCCTGTATTTATATTAAATTGTATTCCATACATGTCTATTTCTTCCTCTACAGAGTGATATTTGCAACGGTGTTTCGTCCGCTTCTCTATCCAACCATTACTGCTGTTTCTCCGTTCCCCGTTTTTCAATCTTGACGATAGGCTTCATGGTCTCTAGTCATGCCCATGGCGGTTCTGCTACTTTCGGCAGCTCGTCGCTGGACTCCGCAGTCCACAAGGTCACATCTCCGGTGTTTCGGTGATGATCACGTGGACTCTGCCGTTCCCTCATCCTTTCGGCCCCGTTGTCTGCGATGAACTCCTCCTGTCTCACCTCCCTGATGGTTGATCATGAAGCCAGTC